TAAATTTTATCAAATTTTTCAATCCTTGGATTTTTACAACACCAAAATATTGTAAAAACAATCTTTACCATCAGGACTATCCAATCCAAGGAATCCAGTAAATCTGCCAAATCCAAGTAAACCGTATGGAAATAAAATATCGTATCAAAATTTTTCATTCGTGTCCAATTTTTTATTTTAAATCGAAAGCCAAAATGTTCTTGTTCGATTTAGGTTATTTTTGGGTTAAATTTTAATATTTACAATGTTAAATTTGTTTTCTAATTATGAAGACTAAACAATTGAAGAAGAGCAAGATGAAGGTTACTAACAGGAGAAAAAGTGTTAAACGCAAAAGGTTTGGAAAAATTTTCAAATTAGACTATTAAACTATTGGCAAGCCATTCGTCTGGCCTAATTTAACTCCTAAAATTTGAAAAATACAGTTAGTTTTTCTTTTTCAGTAGAGTCAGCCAACCAGTACGAAAAAAGTGCCCCAAACGTTCAACTTGCTCCTTATTTTTAAAGCAAAACCCTTCACCAAACTGTCGCACATGTCGCCATAAAATCAATCTGTCCAAAAAAACTAAAAAAGTGCCAAAAAATTTTGACAACGATGACACCACAACTGACTCAGATTATTCGTCGTCATCATCATCAGATTGTGATGTTAAAGCCAGAGACTTCGATGTGCAGAAAAAGAAAAAAAGGGATACTGATGGCAAAGAAAAGTTTGCTGATATAAAGACCAGGATGAGAGGAAAATCCAAGGTTTATAGACATAAGTTGGATGGGGCTAGGAGTCAACATAAGAAGCGTAAAAGGTTAAAAAACTACCCTACATGTGTCTTAACACAAGTTTTCCTAAACTCAATCAATAATATTTTCAGTCACATCTCACCACAGGTTATCCTAAGTTGAATCAGTAATATTTTTAGTACAAGGAAAATCTACAGATCTCTATAAGTTTTCCAAAATTAAATCAGCAATAAATTTAGTCCTGAAACATCTACATGACCCTTACAGGTTTTCCTAAATAGAATCAGCAAAATTTTAGGTCTTAGAACTTTCACACGTGTTCCTAAATTCAATCTGATATATCTTTTGCAACTGTTTCCCCAATATTTTACCCAATCTGTTTCATCTGTAGATCTTTTCTTTTGTTGATTGAATTGAATCTAATAAAAGCAATGTCCATCTAGCACCAATTTTTAGTTCCTTATTATTAATTTTTTACAGGTTTTCCTTAATAGATTCAGCAAAACTTTAGGTCTTAGAACTTTCACACGTGTTCCTAAATTCAATCAGATATATTTTTTGCAACTGTTTCCCCAATATTTTACCCAATCTGTCTCGCCTGGAGATTTGTTCTTTGGTTTATCCCAAAATAGTTCACAGAATCTAATAAATAGCATTGTCCATCTAGCACCAATTTGTAGTTTTTTATTGTTAATTTTTTACAGGTTTTCCTAAATAGATTCAGTAAATTTTTAGGTCTTAAAACTTTCACACGTGTTGCTAAATTCAATCAGATATATTTTTTGCAACTGTTTCCCCAATATTTTACCCAATCTGTTTGACCTGGCGATCTGTTTTTTGGTTGATCCCAAAATAGTTCTCAGAATCTAATAAATAGCAATATCCATCTACCACCGATTTGTAGTTCCTTATTATTGATTTTTTTCAAACTATCTCAATTAGTGTTCGAAAAGAAGTTTCTGAAGACAGCGATGAAGTTTCAAATTCTGATGACGAAAAACTTGTACCAGTAAAATCGACATGCAAGTACTGTATGCTCAAAAAAAGAAAAGTTGGATGTATTATCAAATATAAGGCTACAAACAAAGGTAAGATCTTGCTGGAATAATATTATAATAAAATAATAGTAAAATAGTTCAATCTGATATAGAACCACCAACGTCCACGAGACAAAGACTTGACTTCGCGAGCAAAACTAAAAATGCAGCTAAAAATTATATTGATGGTTTTGATAGACGAAAAGCCAGCAAACCTCCATTATGTACATCAAAATGCTGCTGTAGCAAATGAAGAAAAATACAGAGGGTCCTGAAAAAGTTCAATGCCGCGACAAAGTTTGTATTATGTTTGTTTTTAGTCATTATTTTGCACTCAACATTTACCAATCATTCCAATTGATAGAGAATTTTGTCAACTTATCCATTTTACAGCAACACAACTGTCCACCGAAAGCACCACCAGTGAATCTTCCGAAGATGACACAAGTTCAGAAGAGGAATCTTCAGCCACGATGAAGACGAAACCCAAAAACTTAAGGCGAAAACTAAAAATTTGCGTAGAATTTTACGTGCTAAATATTTGGCCCAAAGAAGATGCAATTTGTCCCGTCCCAGAAAGTCAACAGAAATAATCAAGAATCGGCATACAAATAACATACATTGGTGGAACCGAGTAGAAAATTGGAATCCTTCTATTAGTTTCATCAAAACGTTTATTGAAGAAGAAGAAAGTCCTGGTACATCACCTGAACAAGATCGACGATCGGACGATAGCGATAAATTAACGATACAGGAGGTTGAAGATGATGCAGGTGTAAAAAGTGATACCAAAATAATATCAAGTAAAATGTGTACCACTCCAAAACCATCTGATCATTCATCCAAAAGTCTACAAGTTGGGGGAAATGATGATAAAGCTGTAACTGAGACCAAATCCAAAGACCGTGATAGTAAAAGCAAAAGTCAACATAGTAATACTAGCAAGAGCGAAGACCAGTAATATGGTAACTTGTGGTAATTATGGTCTTATTCTATAATGGAAGTCAAGGACAAAAATACAAACGACTCTATTGTCTGCCTTCATCCAATCAAAAGTGACAATACCATTACAGTGGCAATACCCATTACAAGTGGCACACCATTACAAGTGGCACCACCATTGCAAGTGGCAATACCATTACAGTGGCAATACCATGATAAGTGACAACACCATTGCAAGTGGCAATACCATTGAAAGTGACACCAGTTAATAAACAAGAAGTCTTCGACTGTTTCTAAAGATATATTTACGGAAGACAGAAAGAACGCAACAGACAAATCCGCGAAAAAGTCAACCCCAATTTGTATATGAAAGAAAGGATCCAATTGAATTTGTGTGATGAGATACAATCCAAAATTATAAAAGATTAAAATCACAAACGAGCATGACACAAACATCTTCAGCCACAAATGAAGCAAGTCTCGATAAAAATGTAGTAACAAATCCAAGTGCAGAAATCTACAGCTGGTCCAACCCGAATGAATTTAAGAATTTTATGGATGAATACGAAATCAGTTTAGGCGTCACTTATCCGCAATTGGAAGAAACTACAATTTCTCGTAGACTTCGAAGAAGGGCAAGATTTTGGCAGGAGTATAAGATGCTGAAGAGACTGAAATACAACGATTGTGGACGCCCTGATTGTTTCGATATTTTAGGCGGATGTAGAAAAAAAGGATGCAATTTTCATTTGAAGCGTAAACGTGGTGGCATGGATGCAGACGACGACGACGATAAAGACACAAAAAAATCTGGAAGTAAACTAAAATTTTTTAAACCTGCAAGTTCAGAAAGCAACGTAATAAGAATGAAATCAATTTTTGAATCTAACACCAAAACTGATGAGGAATCACTTGAAGAAATTAAAGAAGTCATCAGTGGTACATTTAGTGATTGTTCTATACATCATGAGGAAGGAAAACAACTGGTAAACAATGAGGAAGACAAAGAGAAGCCTCCACATAGCAATACTAAGCTAAAAACTAATAGTATGTTTTCAAAACACAGTCAACATGAACCAAACTTGAATATCACAACAGAGCCATTCTAAAATGAACCACTCATCAGAAGATAATGAACTTAAAAGTCTTTACGTACCAAGCAATTTAGCAAAAACTCAGACAGTTTCCAATGCAAAGAACACAACTTGAATGAAGCATCCAGTTCTAACAACTTGGGTAAAGTATCTAGGACCAGTTCTAAGGATAACATACAATCCAGACCCAGTTCCAATGTCATAGACATCAAAAGACGATTCGGTGAGATGGACTTTACAGATCGGGAGAGGCTAAAGCGCGATTCCAACGAACTATATGGTTACGATATTGCTTCTACAAAGACAAATGGTTTGAAAAATTTGATTAGCATAGTGTACGAGACTGGTAAGAAGATTATTGGCGGATTTAGTGAAGACGATAATAAAATTTATGAACGGCGACAGAAAGATAGCGAAGAAACTTATCAGGCAAATTTTGCAATGACTATTTGAATGGTTTACATGAATTTTCTGGTGTCTTGGAACAACGAAAAAGCAAACGTGAACCTAGCCGAAGAAATCATTCCTCTTCCAGAAGACCACACGAGAAAATATATTTATCAAAGAGTAAATACGACAAAGAAAAGTACAGATCAAGAAAAGAAAAGCAATATAATGATTCAAACAAGGCGAGACCATATATTAACAATACCACTGTCAAAGCTGATCTTGCACAAGTGCAAGAGTGGATGGACAAAAGCATATGTTTAGAAGACAACATTGGAGATTTCACTCCACACCAATGAAGAGACGTTGCATTTTTTAAATGGTGTCAGATTATTGGAACATGATATCATGGCTGATGTTGGTTTGGGAACTACAAGTGACTCTAATGATGACAAACAATATGACGTAATTGCTAAGAAATTGAGGACACAAACTAGTCGCACTGGATGTTCTGTAGATTTGAACAATGGTTTAATGAAGGTTGTACATAGTTGCAATAGTTTTAATTATGGAATGCCAACAAATCAATCAAGCAGTACAAGAACAGAGAAAATTTATAGTTTGCGCACACATAAACCGACAAATCTCATTTTAAATAAAGAATTACTTAGTAATTACAATCACGGTTTCGCCAAAGATGAAGCCAATCTGATAGGTTCTATAACATCCAAATTAAAAGCACTTTATTCCAAACCTAAAAAGGACGAATCCAGTCAAACCAAGGATGACAAAACCAAAACTGCTGACAAACCAGCACCAGAAAAACCAAGAAAAGATAAAAGTCAAGAAGACGACGATCCAAAATTATCGAAGAAGTCTTCTCAGGTTTCTTCAAACCATACATACATACCACCAAAAAATGATAGGGCAAAAAGTAGAAGCCCTTCACCACATGAAAATAAACCAGATGTTGCCAATGATGAAATTAAAACTCTTTCGTGGAATGATCAGCAAAGAAGAAAATTTTTGAGAGCCAAGAGGAATAAATTGAAAAGGGACATCGTAGCTGCTGCAAAGGTAAATAAATTTGTTTTTTTTATATCAACGACTAAAAATTACATTTTTAACTTCCCGAAGGAAAAGTCTATGTTTTCATAAAAAAATCCGATTTGCTAATTTTATGTTTTCTCGACGTTTCAAGCCATTCTGAATCAAATGACACCAAATTTGGAAAAAGTATGTGTGGGTATAATATACACACGTCGATTTACGGCAAAAATTCTATATATACACTGTATATATGTGAACAGATTTTTTGCAGTAAATCGACGTTTACTCAAATACGGCTAGACCAATTTCAAAAATTTAAAAGCCATTCGATGTATCTCGATGAGAGCTATCGTTTGTCAGTTTTGCGCCACGATCAACCAAGCCGTTTCTTTGTAAATCGCAAAAAAGTAAAAAAAAATTCGTCCACGTTTTAGCCCGCAATTTTGAATCGATTTTGAAAATTCAAAAATTGTTCGAAAGATATTGGTTGGGAATCGTGCTGATTAGTTTTTGGTAAAGATCGACCGGATCGTTTTCTTGTAATAAAGTGTTAAAAAAAATTTTTCGACGATTTTTATGATTATTTTTTCTTGACGGTAGATACCATAGTCTTATAGATCATACTAAAATATTACGACTCTACTTGTCGTTTAACTTTGAAAATTCGTGAAAGTTTGCAAAAATTGGTATCGTTTTTTTAGCATTTGTCAAAATTAGACCTTTGATCGACGTTTTCTCAAAAATGCCTTAACCGATTTCAGAAATTTTAAAGCCATTTGATGTATCTCGATGAGGATTCTCGTTTCTCAGTTTTGTCTGACGATCGGCCGAGCCGTTTCTTTGTAATTTGGAAAAAAGTGTTAAACTTTTTGGCCACATTTAAGCTCATACTACCGAATCGATTTTAAAAATTAAAAGCTGTTCGCAAGATATTAGTTGGGAATGATACTGATTAGTTTTAGGTGAAAAGCTACCGAAACGTTTTCTTGTAATTAACTGTTGAAAAAAAATTAAGCCGATTTTTATGGAACTTTTTTTGGCGATATATAGCAAAGTCTTATAAAATATTACGACAAGTAATTTAATTTTAAAAATTCATCGAAGTTTGAGAAAATGAGTAGTTTTTTGACGTTGGTTAAAATTGAAATTAGACAATTTACTTGGTATAACAATAGAGTACTTGATCTTAATAAACATACTAAACCATTAAGTCCTACAAAAACTGGTTCAATTATAAAAATTATTGATTTTTGAAAATTTGCTTTTAGAAAAAACTCCGAGCTAACGTGTTCGTTCGTTTACAATGATGTGTAATAAATCCACTCGGAATACTTTTAATCACTTATAAATTAATTTATTTTTTATTGATTAAGTCGATTATTTATACATATCAGGAAGTTCATGTAACTTGCATCAAGGCAAAAAACCAATACCAACTAGTTCAATATGTTTCTTTTAGAAAAGTAGACAAAAAATGAACGAGCAACAACTTATAGACCGTGAATACAAACATGAACGAAATCGATCAAAGAGACAAAGGGATTATGATTTAATTCGCAAAAAAATTTCCGAAGCTTGTGGTTTTTTGGTCGATGACGACGATAAAAAATTGCGAAAAAAGAGGTCACCATCACGGTAAGTGGACGAATCTAGAGAAAAAGTTTTCAAAATTGTTTGATAAAGTTTCATACAGAATTGATTAAATCTATAATTTTCCAATTCCAGAAACTGTTCAACGGACCAATCTACTATGACTGTATACGAGTGCAAAGAATGTGGAGCAGATGTCTGCGTCAGATGCAATAAGGCAGTCGAGACTTGGAGGAGGACCAGGTGAATTCAACAAACCAATTTAAATTTTCCATGAATCAATTTTGCTAATTTAACCATTTCAATTTAAATTCAAGGACTCCGAGACCAACTCGTCAAGAATTCGATGCCCTTCTGGGTGAAGTTGTAAGACTGAAGAAGATGGCAGAGCTTGCAGGATCCAAAAATAACAGAAAAAGAAGTAGGGCTAAAAGTGTGTGTTCAAGGAATTATAAAAGTAAAAGAATAAAAACTACTGTTGGAAGACAATCTGGTAAACAGGTTAAAAACGGTAAGTGAGAGAGATAATTAATTTTGCCTCATTTGATGAACACATTTTTTGTTTTTTTAGTTCCTGCAGCAAGGTCGATCAAAACGCAAACAGAAAACCCCAAGAAAAACGACATATCGACATCCATGAGTGCAAGACCAATAGCAGTAGAATCAGGTATTCGTGATTTAAGGGGGTATTCTAGTGTAGAGCGATGAATTTTAGGTCATTTTTAAAGTGTCGTAAAAGAAAGCAATTAATGTTTTTACTATCCATCTTTTTTCCACTTGTTTATTTATATTATTAAAATACAAAACAAATATTGAAAAATTAAAAAGGTGAAAATTGTAAAAACTGGCAGCTGATGAAGTGGGGGGTCTCAAAAAATTGGCACCTTAGTCTTGACAT